AGAGATGATTATAAACTCGCAGGCGTTTGTTCATTTGTGGCTGTAACCTTTAGATTAGTTCACAAAGAAGCACTTGTCACCGGAATGCATTGTCATGCCTCTGATGCCTTTTTGGAGCTGTTGCATCTCCTGTCTGGTGAATTTATAGACCTCAATCAGCTGTGGATTAAACGGTGATCAGCAACAATAAGCAACAGCTGGATGCTGAGCAGAAACGTACCCGTGTTGGAATCTAATTATGAGCTCCATCAATCTGTCTGCAGCTCAAAGCAGAACCAGTCATGGGACAAAAACTATAACTCAAGCCTCGCAGCATTTTTTATTTTATTTTTTATATCTTCAGTAAAGTAAAGCAGGCTTCCTGGGCTCTGCTGAGATCCAGGGTTTTGTTTGGGTTTCTGTGATGTGCAGAGTCTAAAGGATTAAAACTGTGGATGTGGAGCATCCCTGAGCACTTTTGGACAACCGTGAAGCCAAACCTGGGGCTACTCTGTTTCAAAAAGCTCACAAAACAAAACAAAAAAAATGTACAGCCTCTTTTTTTATACCCCTGGAGAACATGAAAATGCTCCAGTAAAAAAGAAAAACACGGCCTAACCTCAGTGAATTCCTGATGGGGGAAAGAATGCAGAAAAAGAAGCCACGTTCCCGTCCTTTACTGGGTTTTTCCAGTGCACCGTTTTGGCTCGGTCTGCACCACGTTCACTTGCAGAGAAGCTGCGAAACACGAGAACCTCAAAAAGCGCTCAGACGGAGAGACACGAGCGGAGGAAACGTGCCTCGAGATCAACTTTCATTTGCTCAATGCAGAGAGGAGGGCCCACCGCACGCCAGGCGATAAATGACGGCCTTGTTTGTCTTTATTCCTGTACAAGTTGTTTAGAAGAATTGCTCCGGAAATGTCAGTTTACTCGGCCTGTCTGTGATCATGAGCGCTGACGTTGTGTTCTGCAGGGAAACAAAAGTCACTAAATGAAAATGGCATGTCGCTTATGGGAACAAAGTGTGCAGAGCTGGCAGGTTCACAGCTCGGTTTACTGCAGCTGCATCTGGTTCACAGAACCGCAGAGCCCCGAGAGCAGCAGCCACCAGCTTTGGGCCTGATTAGAGAAATAAAACGTGAAAATGAGAGACAAATCTGCACATTAAAACTACACCAACCATAGAAACGATTCACTGTGGTGGCTCCTGAGCTCAAACTTTGTTGGTAAATTAAAAACATGTAATGAATAAATAAATAAATGGTAAATGGACTGAACTTATATAGCGCTTTATCAAGTCCCTCCAGACCTCAAATCTCTTTACACTTAAACATTCACCCGTTCACACACTGATGGTGGTAAGCTACATTGTAGCCACAGCTGTCCTGGGGCACACTGACAGAAGCGAGGCTGCCATGCACCGGCACCACTGGACCCTCTGACCACCATCAGTAGGCAAGGAGGGTGAAGTGTCTTGCTCATGGACACAACAGCTGGAACAGGGGGATCGAACCAGCGGCCTTCCAGTTACAGGACGACTCCCGTAACCCATCTGCCACACTCGCCCAAATAAACAGCACGACTGACATGTTGGTATAAAAAGTATATTTTACTTGAATTAAACAGAAAAAGCTCATATGTTTAAAACATTTGCTGATGGTTTTAGCATTTATGTTTCAGGATATAAAATGATAAATGGACTGAACTTATTTAGTGCTTTATCAAGTCCCTCCGGAGTTCCGGGACAACTTCCCTAACCACGCCGCCACAGCCGTGTAAAGTGCTTTGGGGTCCAGAGGGACCTGATAAAGCGCTATATATAAGTTCAGTCCATTTACAATTTTCATATAAATTTTTTTGTAAAAAAAAAAAATGATAGAAGCCAATGCTAACAGCTAAACAAGTAAAAATGAGTCTGACTGTCCGCTAGACACAGGTGTGCGTAGTCACGGGTTTAGCTGTGTTTAAACATAAATTAGGAGAGACGGCATCAAACTCCACCAGGAGTATCCCAAAACCTCGCTGAGGACGTGAGAGATTGCCCTATACGTCCGTATACCAGCAAAATGACGTAAAATCCTTACAACTTACGGACAATCTGTACAAGTTGACATGTATGTTATTTATTTGCTTTCTGGGAAAGCAAATAAATCTAAGTTTACCATAGTACCTTACACTGTCAAACTTGTTTTTAGGGGTTCAAATTGGGGTGGGTGGGACATAGTTCGGGTGGGGGGTTGCACTTCAACTCGCCTAGGGCACCAAAATGGCTAGAGCCGGCACTGATCAGATTTGACGTGTTTTTAATAATTATTTGTCTTCACATTTCAACAGAGCTTCCAGCAGTTGTGCAGCAATTAAAGAAATAACTACACAACTTGCATCGACCTCAAGCTGCAAATCATCCGGACCGACACCCGTATATTCACCGCTACAAACCCAGTGCCACAGGAACCAGCTTCTGCAGCTGCCTCTCCTCAACTGGAGTCTGTTGACATGGTCAGACTGATATCTAATTACATTTCTGTGGCAGCCCAACTTCACTCCTGGTCCACACACTGACTTGTGTTTTAATGCTCTTTGTCTAATTTAAGTTATTTGCTTTATGGATTTCTTCTGCAATGGAAACCTGAATATTGTAAATAATATGAATAAAGCTCATTATTATCATATTATTAGATATATATATTTTTAAAGCC